TGTCAAGAACTCACCAGGCTTAGCAATCAGATCCTCTTTCAACATGTCCTAACACTGGAAGCCAAAAATCAGTGCCCAGGTTTGAAAAAGTTCATCTTAGTGAGAAGCAAGAAAGGTTAAAATGTACTAATGCTGTTACTCATTGGGATTTATTCGCTCAGTTCTAATTTTAACTTTGGTTAGCCCAATAAAAGGTATCACATCACCGTCTGGGTAGCTGTCTTACAAAAAAACAATGCAGCTACCAATTTTCCTCCATTGGATGACATACTTGGGCAGTAGCCCTTTAAAAAAAACCTTCAACTTCTCTAGAGCACATTTGGTTTTCCATTCATTATTTTTCTGATGCTGAAAGCAATGTTATTCATCCTAGAGAAGAATAGCTACATTGTATTTCAAAGGTTTAACCAAAACGCTCCTCGCTGCAAGTTGTCTTTTTTCCTTTCAGGATTTTAGAACATATTTATAAAGTGGCTGCTGGGAGAAATCATCAATTTATGATCAATGGGATCTGGTAAAAAAAAAAAAAAGAAAAGAAAAGAAAAAGGAAAAAGAAAAAGAAGCAATATGGGAAAGAAATGAATTACACAATTGCAAAAGTGACTGCTATCTACAAAAATGTGGATGACGAGAGCTCCTCTCCCCATGAGATGAGCTAATGAATGCTGAATGTGAAATGACTGTTAAAAAAAAAAGAAGACAAAAATAGAAAAATAAGATCAGTTATTATTATACTGTACAGTATCCACAATCTGTAACAATCCATCCACCTACCACTTTCTTCGCTCTTGTTTTTTGCTAACTTCACCTGTAGTCATTACCCAAAGATCAGCCTTTGCCTTCTCCAGTCCAGCTTGCCTGCAGTAAGGAAGCAGAATCCACCTCTGCTTGGACTTGTTTGTCTATGACCATCTCTTGATTCACACCCATGTAGGACTATTTAGGTGCCACCTACACAGCAATGATAAATCTTTAGCTATTCTGAAAGGCCAGCCCTTTGTGTCTGTATTCTTCTTTGGCTGTATGGCCACACAAACACCTTTGTTTTCTGTCTTCTCTTACTGATGTCAAGCTGGTTGATGTCACTGCTCCTTGACCACCGAATGCAATAATCCTGGGGGGATGTTCTTAGCCCTGTGAGCCAGGATTCATCTTCATCTAGGAAAGATACATTTGTCTGTGTCAGCTGGAATGGGACTTTTAGAACACAATCCTGAATGGGTATCAAGGAGCCAAGTGCACCCTGAAGCTCCTTGGTTCTTTTTCCCTCCTCCTTTACTTTCCCTTCATGCCATAAGGGCCAGATCCTTACAGCTGGAATACAGTTGCCCAAAGCAATAAGCAAAACCTTCCCAATACAAGTCATGGACCTCAGGTACCTCCCTACCTGCAGCTGAGCTTGGGATTTGCACCCTGACATACGCTAAGCAGCTGTCCAGTTTCATGATAAAAGATATGTGTTGTGCCACTATGAAATACTTACCAAATGCTGTAAGCTGCCAAGACAAACTCTTTTTGTTTCTACTGGGTCAGATGCAATTGCACCTTGTTAACCAAGCTGTATTACCACCAGTCATTGCTTGTGCACTCATTGCTTGTGCAGAAGGAAGACACTGAGTTCGAACAGCTGGAAAAGGCACTTCCTAGTTTCTGTAAAGATACATATATTACAACTTGACTGTTCTCCAATATTTATGGATCTCAACTGCCTCCAATTCATTATACCACCAGAGAAGAAAAAGTGCAATAATCCCCTTTATGTCTCCTGTAATTGAATCCAACTATGATTATAATATATTGTGGGCACTTGAAGTACCTATTAATTATTGAATGCTTGCTTCATAATGAACTGGAATATCCTCTCTGATACACCAACTTCTTCATATATTCTTTAATCACTTCCAAGATCCTGAAGAACTGGTCCATCCTTTAAAATGAATAAAATCAATATAATAAGTGATTTTAGTTATCTCCCCAACAAACTGTAGGCTTCGGGATACTGTCTCATGAGGTTTAGCAAAACCGATCCAAGCTGACCTTGGATCTAACAACTCGGTGCTCTTTCCTAAAGTTTTTAAGAATGGCACCTACGTTACATTCATCAACAATGATAAAATGTCTCAGTATAATGAGAGGAGAATGGAGCTGCCAATTTTTTAACAGTGCATTAAATAGAGGAAATGGTAATTTTAACAATAACATCGGTTTAGAAAAACTGCGGCAACTTTTTAACAGATAGAGGGCCAAGTTTTCTGTTGATAAGGTGCCAACTCAAGTGCATTCTTCCTAACAGAACATGTCCTGCAAATGTATCCCTCCCATGCTCTCTTGATTGGAAAGCAGAAGGAGAGCATGCTGCTCATTGCTTGGTTTCCTAAACTAATAGCGCTGCTCGTGATGCTGAAAGCTGTTTGTTATACATCATCCTGAGGGTGACTTCATCTCAGAAGTGGCTGAAGTAACCTGCAGAAAGTACTTTGAGAATTTATTTATTTTGAAAGGGCCTATTTAACACGGAGCATCACTCTCTACAGAGAAACAACCATGTCTGGGGTGGAATGTAGTAGCTTTTTAATTAATACTGACTAGCTGACTCTCGCAGATACAGATTTGGGGAATAATACCTCTTGGAGCAACCCACATAATGTATTACATCATCTAGCTAGGAGTAAATGGTGCTTGTATGTCATCTTATTATGGCATTTGGCCTCCAGTAGAGGAGTATGGATGTTCTCCTATCACAATCTGTGGCAAAACACTCAGTTAAATTCAATTAAGGTAGATTTGGGCACCTAATCAGGTTACAGTAATGACTCATGATGACTGAACTCCAAGATTACTGATCAGGCAACAGTTCACATAATCAGAACAGAGCTGTTATCTTGTTTCTGCAGCTGAATGTGCTGTCAGTCTGCACCCAGTTGGAGCTGCAGTGGAGGGTGGGCTGTGAGCTGCAATGATTGTTCCTACTTAGGAAGCATTCCAAGTTTCTATGCTGCTCAAAAAGATGAATCAAAATATCTTATCAAACACTGTTATCATTTTCCTCAGGAGTCTTAATTGCTTTTGCCAAAAATAATTTCCAAAAGGAATATTTTTTTATGATGAACCTGCTAAAGTGGTACAAAAGTAGCAAACAAGTGAATAACACAATATGCTTATGCTAGATCAGGTGGAAAATACTCCCACTAGAGCTAACATCAATTTACACCCTGTAGCCTGAGGGTGTGGATCTATTCCAGGGCTGTGATTTTTTTTTTTTTTTTCTGCTATTAAAAACACAATTTTGCTCAATCCTTTCATTTTAAGAATGAGGATGAATATTAAAATTTTCAATGCAGCATGTTCTTTTGCAAGCATGCACGCCTCATGCACACATTGTAAATCTAAGCACACGACGGTGCGTGTGAAGAAAATATCAACCTACAGTGAGTACTTAAGAAAACAGTGATGTTTTGCTCTCTTTCCTGCTTTTGACAATATGAAACTCTTGGAAAACACCGCAGTGTTTTAAAATAACAAATATATTTGTTTAAATGTGCTGGGATGTTGCATTTTCTTTGTACTCCTTGGTACAACAGATGTAAATGTATGGCATACAGGACGTTGTCAGATAATACCAGGTCAATATAAGTAACTAAGTTAGGCCTCCATTCTACAGTTAATTAAATCATTTGCTATGCATTCAGTGCTAATAAAACTGCTAGATGTCTCTGCTGTGATCAGCTGGTCTCTTGTACAAAGCACATTCCCCCCCAAGCTAGTTCCTTTTGTACAGAAAACTGCTAGTCATCATACAAAGAAGGAGGAAGACAGAATACTTGATACCGCTGACCACTGTAAGAATCTACAAAACAGGAGATGGATGAGGAGAGAGGAGCTTCAGGCTCTAAATAAAGCAGTGTTTTCTAATCTTTATATGACTATCATTCTTGCGTTGAATTTGGTCTACTGGAGTACTAGAATAAATTCCCATAGAAGCAATGCATTCAATAGCACTTCTAATTGGGGTCACTTTTGCTGATTTGCAGAATGCTACACGGCTTGGCCTCCCACTTGCTTCATCGTGACCTGGGGGCATTCATTCACCTCTAGAGGATCATGGCTCGTATACAAACAAGAAACTATGCAAAGTTAAACATACACTGAGTTACGGAGGAAGAAGTAGGTCAGCTGCAAACAGCATATGAAGATATCACATAAATAGTGGAGGAATCCTGTGCTATGAGGCAGTGAATGAACAAAGCAGCATGATAGCAAAGGGTGACTACACACAAAGCCATGGAAAACTCCAGGTTAATTTAAAAACAAATAAACAAGAAAGAAGTTTGCTTTCAGAAGTATGCCATATATTCTGCAGTACCTTTGCAACGATTTATTGAAGTGTTTATAAACAAGATCCTGTGATAGGAAAGAAAGATACTTGTTAAGTATGGTGCATAACCTGTGTTTTTTTTTTTGTGCTGAAAGGACTTGACATACAAACAGAATCTCTGCTCAGCAAATTTCTTTTTATGGTAGTGAACTATTCTTTATAAACAATACAACACTGAAACCTATCTCTTAACACTCTCTGCACAGTAAACATTGAAGAAAAGACAAGATACCATGAAAACAAAATTCAACCTCTTGCAAGGAAAGGAATAATGTTTTTCTGTGCTTAACAATAGTTGGACAGATGAATCAATCTGGGACTGGAAAACACAGTCCTGGACTGAACTCAGCATTGTGTTCAAAGCCCAAAAAAGCCCTCAGAGCCCAAACTTCCAGATTTTGGTCATCAGAGCAGTAATTGTTTTAATCTGTTTTTCTAAACTTCAACATCATGAAAATAAAATGAAAGAAAATTCTCTTATACAATAACATTCAGAAAACAACGACCACAAAACATTTACCTGCTTAACAAAAATAAAATGCATATATTTTAGGTTAGGACTTACTTTAGAAAATACATTTCAAAGCACTATAGCACAAATATAATAAAAAAGTTGCCAAGACCATCTGTTTAGTTTTCAAAATATTACAAAATTCACTTTAGATATAAGTATCCAAAATTGATATTAATAAAATGATCAATTAAAATTAATTTTTATCTTTGAGCCAACTAAAAATATAAATTTCTCCTTGAATAGCTAGATATTCAAACAGAATGCATATTTAAGCTCAGAAAATAACATTTTTATATGAGTAACCTTTTTTGCAGAATAAAACGCTAGGTTTCTAGATATGACATTTATACTACAGACCCCACTTTACCTGAAAACATTGTAATCTTCTAATTAACCAAACAGTTGATTAGACATTTCTCTAAAATCCTGTTCAGAATTATTTGGTTGGTCAGCAGTGGTTTTTTTGGCCTCAGAAACACTGTCAATGCAAACTGAACATTTGGACCTCTAACCTTCCAGTGTTTCCTTACATTTTTTGGTTGGCCAACTCTCTAACTTTGAAGCTCCCAGCAAGCAGCCTGATTTTTATTTTTATTTTTTTCCCTCAACCATAAAGAATTTTCTTAAAAATTCAAACAACATTTGAAAACTGCTAAAAATTACAATATTTCCTCTTAGCCTGGTGTGTAAATGACTACATTTCAACTACTTCCTTGCTCTGAATTAGCTGGACTATTTGGCATTGGGGAAAACAAAGTGATTTTTACTCAAAACAACTGTATTTCTCTCCTAAATCTTGATGATACTACCACAATCCACAATTTAGCACAATATACAAAGAGGTCATACATTAGGACTAGTCAGTTCTACCTTTTTTTTTCTTTATTACCAGCATGTTTTCCCCTTTCCATAACGGTATTCTCATAGACCTCATTTTACAAAGCATCAAGCAGAAAAGACAAATAAGAGTGCTTCTGAGCCTTACATGTTAAAATGACCGAAAACAAGAGTGTATGAAATAACTGACCTGAGTGCCCATTTGTTTACCCTAATTACCTGACGAATCGAGGCAGCTCTGAGCATTGGGATCACATTCAACAATTATAATTATGACAGAGAAATATATTTCTCACAGCACTATATTTTCCAGCTAATATCATACACATCTAGCTCAGGATTCTTTGGTCCAGGATTCTACAGCATAATGGCACTTACATGGCATGGGTAAAATATAATAGACTGTAGAGGATTTTTCTAGATTACCTAGCAGCCACTCACAAAAGAAGATTTGAGATCTACAGTTAAAGTTTAATCCTAATAGCTACAGTAATTGATTAGTTCTCCATGGATTTTCTTTGGTCATTGAGGTGTGTACAGAAACTACAGGAGATTATTTTATTGGGTAATTTTCACAGCGCAGCAGGATACCCTTACAATGGTTTGGATACTGCCCTCTTGACAAAGACCATGGGGGAGGGATCAGAGCGAAGGAAATTCAAGCAGCAGAATCCCTGCATAACAAGTAGGGTGTAGGATTTTTCCTTCCTGGGAAAGAGGCAAGAATTCTGGCACCATGACTTCAGATATCTGAGGTCTCTTGGGGTAAAGACTTTTTTATTGTGAGGCCCTGATCACTTCAATTCTAGAGGTATCAGAAAGCTTACCCAGCGTCTTGTCCGCTTTGTTCCATGTAATAGCTAACATGTTGAAAAGGGCTCAGTGAAATGTGGTTTTACCATGCTTACTGAGCCAGAATAGGACCAAAGCATTAAGCAACAGATCCATAATTGTTGCAAACTGGTTTTGTTTTGAGGGTGGACACAAAGAAGTTGAAAGTAAATATGAAGGCCATGAAAGTTGCAGGCTTAACAGATCCTGAAAATTTTCTCCTTTTAGTTCAAGTCTTGTACAGACCACAGCAACTATCACAACCCTTGCCAAAACAGCAGAAAAGTGAGTTGGAGGGACCTTTTCTATGGTTAGAACCAGAGTTAATGAAATCAACGGGAGAGTGGGAAGTGGACATGGCTCATGCCATTGCAGAAACTAAGCTGAGACCTACCATGCTTTCTGTGTAATCTAAAAAAACCCCACAGCTTCTAATTTTTTACGAACCAGCAACAGCCAAGAGAGAGTTTGCTCAGATGTCTGTCTTTACTCTCGACTCTGGTCTCACTTGTTTTCAGTTCCAAATATCTTCGTTTGATACCACACTCAGCTCACTCTCAGGAAGTCAGACATGAGTGTGACTCTTCCAAACCCTAGGCCAAGGTTTACAAGGGTGTTTGGCTTGTCTCCGTTGTTGGGTGTTGCATTTCAGGCACCTCATGTGGACCTGATTTTCAGAATGCGAGTGTTCTGCACTTCATAAAAACTGAAACCTCTAAGCCCCCTCCAACTGGATTCATTAAAATTAAGGCACTCAAAAACTGCCAGTTTTGAAAATCTAACCCTAACAGGCTGAATCACAAGAAAAGCAGGAATAACAGGTAACCATAGAAAGATCCATGTGTTGCTGTGCTCAGGGCATTTAAAGTGTAAACTTTATTCACGTAGTAGTGACATTGTTAATGGCAAAAGGGTTTGCCCTTTACGTCCAGTAACCATATTTTACTCTGTATCTCCTGAGAGCAGGAGTTTGTATAAGCAATGAGGGGGAGGGGGTAGGCCAAAAAAGAGTTGATGGATTACCAGTTTTTCTTCTTGTGGTGAATTCAGCCGTCTGGAATGGTGAATGTTAGTACAGGAGGAAAAGAGATAGTTATCTTTTGTCAGAGCTGTGATATAGCAAATGTTAATATAATCTCAAAGGGAGGTATAGTTCAGAATATCTTAAAAAACAGATAAAACATATCCTGAAACAAAGGTTGCTTTTAACTATATGTAAACAGTCTTTGATCAATCAGCAGAATCCTTAGGAAGGGCTGATGTATCACAAAACTTAACACAACGTCCCTACCACAGTTGAGTAAGTGCATAAGCTTTGCTCACAGAAAAAATGCTAGCAGTTCTCAGGAAGATCCAACTGAAATTATTAGAAATGAACATTTTGGTATAAATTGTCACAGTCCTCTCCTTCTGAAGGCTGTAATTGATACAGAGTGAAAAGGATCAGTACTGCTGCACTATAAATGCATTTGATATCAGATAGAAATTCCTCCTGAGGGTCATCTTCATATTTCATGGCTTTTTGGCTTCCTCTGCTGCATCCTCAGACAAACCTATAAAGGAGAAAGAAGATGCTTAAAAATTCCGTGTACTTGGCAACTGCATACACTCTATTGCTGATCACTGGTTTGTAAAAGCTTTGGCTATAGCCAGAGGAAACAATTTATTAGAAGCAAAACAGGATAAGAATCCATAACTTGCAAATTCAAGAACTCACAAGCTTAGGAATATAAAAATTAAGGCAATGAGGGCAATTCCATATCAACTCCTTTATGTATGCAATGGATAATGCCATCTTTAACTTATAAAATTGTGGACTACCCCTAAATGTGAGGAAAAAATGGCAGAGAACAGCTAGGCATACAATCTGACACACGTGGTTCTCTACTTGATCTTTGCCTGCACCTTTTCACAGGTACAATTAGCAACACAAATTGAAAACAGTATAAAATTACTCTCTATAAACTTATTAAGAACAGGTTTTTTTTTAATATGAAACTAAGACTTTGGGAAATGGGAAAATAGCAAACCCCCTGTACAGAAGGTAACTTCTGGTTTAAACCAGGAAACGATGAGTTTCTTGTTTTCAAGTATTTGTGCAAAGGTTAATTCATCTTGGATTGGATATTAATCTTTTTGCAACTATGAGCCTAAAAGAATCAGAAAAGTGGGCAGAAACCCACATAAAGTTGCTTGAAATGTCTACAGAGAAAAGGAACAGTGGATAATCTTGCAAATTTGTATATGCACATACATGCATGACTTAATTAGAGTGATTATTTAACCCAGCAGTTTCTTACATGTCCACTATTACTTCAGGCTGAAAATTATTTAGCTTAAATCCGTTTATAATTAACATTAAGCAATTCAAAATAAATTGGTATTATATCTGAATGATACATGAATAATAATACAAATAACACACAGCTTTTAGCCCTCTCTACAGGAGACTTAAATCCCTACACATCCAATATGTCGGCAGCAGAATTAAATTTGATTTGATCAAGTCTTCTTATCACAGGCCATTGCACTGTCTATAGGCTTAAATGCCTTCTAATCATGTTCACACAGAATTTATCACAATCTACAGCATGTAAGAAAATAATAAGAAACTAAAGGCTGTCGTTTGCTGTCATTTAGATCCAAGCAAGTCCAGGTGAACAACAACGCCTACATTGTTTTCTCTTATTTTATTTTTCAGTTTTTGGTTTGCTCTATCGATGTCCTTCAGTGCTTGGGGATTTCAGCATATGCATGAATGGTTTTCATAGCTGCTGGTAAGTTAAACAAATTTTACCTCAAGCCTTGAGATTGAAGCAAAGTGTCAGTGAGGCTAACAGAGCAGATCAAGGATAAAATTGCCAAGATACAAAAGACTAAAGCAGTAACATTTAAGCAACAGCTGGAAGTCCAAGCCCCCCAAGGGACTCAGAGGTCCCCCTTACTGAAGTTTGTTGGTTTTTTTTTTTTTTTAAAGGACAATTCAAAACACCATGTTAAGAGCTGATACGGGTTTACAAAGGTCAACCCTCAAATGGCAGTTCCTTTGTTCCCAACTCTTATGAGACAGCACATGCTGGGATGCTGAAGGGAACAGCAGCAGGTCCCATGTTGTTCCATTAATGATCTAGAGGATGGAGGTTGGGAGCATGATAATGAGATGTGTGGAAGGTAGGAAACCCTGATGAGCTATAGCCACTTTGGAGAGGAGAAAGAATTACTGCTCTCGGACCTGAGAGATTAACAAGGCTCAGAGAAGATAAGATTCCATTTAAAATACATTATGGGACTAATCTTAAACACAGATGCTTGCTGAGGAAAACCCCACAGAAGTAGCACAGCAGAAAGAGCTTAGAAGATATGCATTCACAGCAAAATGGGCCACGTAGCTCAATACAATTCAGAACCACAGAAGCCACTGCAGAGCCCTCAGTTCCTGTTCCTGACTACGCAGCTTTGCTGAAATCACATCTGCAGCTATTTACAGCTCTCTGCACTACATAAAAATACACAGGAGAATGCCTTCCTTTCCCACTACAGTCAGGGAAGAGTTTGCAAACTGCTTTCTCCACGCTCTTAGAAAAGCTGGACACACACATAGTCAAGAAACAGCAAAAAGTGGTATGCTTATGTCAGCAGCTTGTCCCCAAAGGGAATGGCCAAAGATTTACCCAAGTGACCCAAAGGCACTGATCTGTGTGTTAGCATTGCCCACTGGGTTGCACGCCTCAAGACAAGTGACAGTATTACTACACAGTGCCCACAGTGTGTGCATAACTACATTTGAGGACTTTAGCTAGAGGACATTTGGAGATAAACAGGAAGAAAATAGTGGAGAGGCTTTGAAGAATGCCGAGAGAGAAGAAACCTTTGTGAAAAGGCTATAATTGCCTAATGTATCTTTACCTTAAAGATGCCGTAAGATTAAAAATTTAAACTCAATTCTAGAATTATAAAGCAAAAATAATTATTGGGGACATAAAATAGCACCCAGCATACCGCTTTCACAGACTGCTGCTTCCATGGACTTCTTGCAAATGATTCCTGTGTCTATTTCTGTAAATTGCTGTGCCAAAATGAGGAATGTGAATGGTTACTTTCAAGCCCAGGAAACACAGTGGATCAGCTAAACCTGATATGTTAGCTGTAATCGTGGGCTGGCAAAACTGACACAATATAGCAGGAATTATTTCAACTTCACATAGCTTTGCCTGACTGCACTGTACACAACTACAGGTAACCTGGAATACTGCTGCATCAATCAAAGAACTCCTACATGAGTAAATTGTGGGAGAGGTGAACTGACAGATGAGGTATAGACTGCAGCAATTTTTATTGTGTAACTCTAAAATGGGAGGCAATATGAAAACACAGCTTGCAATCATGAGCCTTCCCACCTCTACCCTGTATTTTTCAATACGCAGCATTTATTAGTCAGCCAGGAGAACAACATAAATTTCACATTATTTTAACTGCCATATGCTATTTGTAGCATGACTAATATCAGAGAGGTTTCTCATCAGTTTATCCTGACAAGCTTAGGCAGAACTGAAGAAATACCTGATATAAAATTAAAAATTCTGTAGATGAATGCTCCTCTATCTTATTTCAACAGGAAAAAAAAAAAAAAGAAAAAAGTCTTTATCTTATCCTTTTACCTCCGTATTTCCCATTAGAAAAACCTAAGTATTTCATTTTAAAGATAATACAAAAATCCCAACAGAAGGCACGCTTAGACAAATGTATATTAAAGGGTTTATACCTCAATAGTTACAAACTGGGAAACAGTGCTTTTTGGAAGTAACCATAATAAACTTTAACCCTTGTGCAGTAGGTAACCCCAAGAGCTTTTGGAGATAAGTTTTCAAAATTTAAAGCACGTGATTAAATTGATGTCCTGATTAATAACATGAGATTGCATGTATCTCAAGCTAAAAATAGAGTCTACCTTCATCCACTTAATAAAATCCTCAAATTATGTTGTGTATTTCTCAATCAGAGCCCATTAGCACCCCTGTGAAAGCCACTTCTATAAGCAAATACATGGAATATTTCAGTCATGCCAATTCACCCCTCAAAAAGCATGACTTAATGCATACCACATATAACAGAGTCACAGAAAGCTCATTTCTAGATCAAAACGTATTTTTGAGCATTGAAAACTGAAAAGCGAAAGATCAAAGAAAATCAGATGTAGTTATCAAAACACCAAAGACAGAAGAAAAAAAAACAAAAAACAAACATACTTCTTGGAATTAAAAAAATAAAATAAATTAAAAGGAGGGATTATATTTGAGCATGACAGAAGAAGGGAGCAGAAGGGAGGCAAAAGGATTGTTTTCTGTAGTCATAAATTGTTCATACTAAGCATTATGGTGTAAGGTTTAAAGATGTTTGGGTTAAACCATTAGGCAATGGAAGAAACTACCTAGGGAGGTTTATAAGTCAAGGATATGAGAGGTTTGTCAAGATAGGGTAGAAGAAACCCTAGTGGGGATTAGTGAAGAAGATACACAGCTTTCAACTGGCTGACCTAAGGGATCTTCTCCAATCCTATCATTTATGCTGCTATGATTCATCCTAAGGAGAACATTTTGGACTCTCATGAATTACTGGCCGAGTTTCTTGGATACTATTGTACATTAGTCTACTCTGAAGCATGCATACAACTAAGTCAAAGTTGGCTTTGAAGTATTTAATCTACGGTATTCAACACTTCCCAGTCTCTCTTTCATACAGTGACTCAGAAATAGGGCTGTTAAAACAAGAGAACAAAAAGTTATTTTGAGTTCAGATTAAGAGAAGGGAGGCACCACTTTCTTCAGCTCTTCCCACCAAAAAGAAAAGAGGGAAAAAACACCCCGTCTCATGGCCTGACGGGTAATTTTGCTATTTGTAGATCAGACATAAAACAGCCTTAGAAGAAAATACAGTTTTCAAGTAACTTCTTCATAAAATTTTGGATGCAAAACTAAATGTTCCAAATGACCAAAGTGAATAAGTGAATAGCTCTTTTTGCTTTTTTTTTTTTTTTTTTTTGGTGTGTTAACAAAAGGAGACAGATTTTTCCTAGCACCTTCAAGTCATGTTTCCAGAAATCATAATTTTCTTCTTAGAACGCCATCTTCTCACTGCTAATAATTGTGAAAAACATTATAAACTGCCTGAGAAAGTATATACAGCTTCCTTTTTCTTAGCACATGATCTTTATTCTATGGACACGATCCAAAAGGTTTTTCAGAAAGTTTAAGAACGTAACAATATCTGGCTTATCCCAATTTAGCCTGGAGTGCAAAATGGATTAGTGTGAAACCACTGACTTTAATGCAGTGCTGAAGACTGATCATCATGATAGACAAGCTACAAACTTTCCTACAGTGTGTTTTTACATGAGAAATTGGACTTGATCAGTATTTGATACCACTTTTTGTGGAATAAGAAACTGAAAGCGAGCTCTACTGTTCCCTCTCAAGTCACCAGTGAGCCACTGATCACTGCATACATAATTTTGAAACGATCAGAATCTGAAAGGGAGTGATGGTAGACAAATGAG